ATATTATTAATCGTTATCAAACTTTGGTTAATTTTCTTGAGGAAAGTAATTATTGGGAGTCAATAAATATTGAATCATTTCTTTCAAATGAATCCGTATAAGTATATAGGTAATAATTTTTGAAACTGGACCAATAATGTAATATAATTCATTGTATATAATTTACAACTTTGGTTCAGGTTCAAAAATAGTTACTTATATTAATAATAATATAAATCCTTTTACCGATTATTTTTAACTAAGTTTATTAATAGACCAAAGCATCGATACATTAAGAAATTAAATGAAGGATTACCTTTTAAAGTAGCACAATTTATACATGATAGTAAGCATGGTTCTTCAGTAATATACTTATGGCGTATACCTTTAAATGCATCTGATTCAGAAGTAATGTCACATAATTTTGAGATTGCAAAAATATTAGAAAAAGATATACATATTTATCATACACGGGCAATGCGCAAACTTTGGCAATCTAAATGTGAAACCCTATTGGGCTCAGTTAAACCAATGGCATTACGTTTGTTATATCGTGACTTATCTGGTGATTTTGCTGTAGCTGAAAATCAGAATGAAAAAGAAGTAGATGACAGAATTAAGTTATCTTTGCAAATTGAAGATCCAAAAATTATTACCGATTTACGAGAACATAATCCTGGTGCACCAACACGTTATGAAACATTTTGGAAGGTTGCACAAAATTTTCTTGCTAGTACTGCAGATTCATTAGTTGCTGTTGATGATCGTAGACATAGTTCAATAGTTCATTTAGCAAGAGCAATTTCTGTTAATGACTTTATACAACAAGTTGCTGCACTATGTTCTCCAGAAACATTAATTCCATGTAATCAATAGGTTCGATTACAATTTTGGCCAAAATCTCCTTATAATTTAAATGCATTACAATATACTGGTCAATTAAATTTAAAATTTATGATTCAAATCTGACAATTTCGTATAAATCATCCTGATACACATTATGCTTCTGCACTTTTTCGATATCAAAAAGAATTAGCAATCAAATTTCGTGAATATTGTTTATTTTATTTTCTTGATGACAAACATCACTGCAAAGTAGGTGAACCCGGGTATCTAGTAGCAGCAGTAGAACGTGGAAAGCATGTTTTAGTTGGGTTAAATGAAAGTTTTTTAGTTAGTGATCATGATTTTACTAAGGTTGGAATTATTCCTAGTGTTATAATGAGGTGTGATATTCCAGAATCAATTGATAATTCATTCTATAAAGGCCGTATATTTATAACTTTAAAAGATCCTATATTTGAGGCATCATCTCCTTTACGGCATTCAACAGAACTCTTCTATATTATTGAAAATCATGATACAAATTTACCAATTTTATTTTTGTATACAGATGGAGGTCCTGATCATCGTGTTAATTATTTATCTGTTCAAATTTCTCTTATTTCTCTTTATTTGTCTCTTGATCTTGATTATTTAGTAGCTGTAAGAACACCACCAGAACATTCATGGAAAAATCCTGTAGAAAGAATTATATCAATATTAAATCTTGGACTCCAATATGTCAGATTAATGCGTAAAAAAATGTCCAAAGAATTTGAACAAATTTTAGAATGTTGTAATTTGATTAAAGATATTAGAGAAGCATCTAAAAATTATCCAAACCTTCAACAAGAATTAAGTAATAGTTTACAACCAGTAAAAGAGCTTTTAAATAGTATTTTTTCTCGTCAATATTTAAAAAATGAACAGTTTACAACAGTAAATGCTGCAACAACTGAAGATATTGATCAATTGTTTGATGCTATTTTAAGGTTAGATCAAACTATATTAAAAACTGATAAAACCTGGAAAACTGTTAAAAATAAGGTAAAAATTGTAAGACAATTTTTATTTGTATACCATTTATGAGTTAATAAATTAGTGCCTGTGCATAAACACTACATAAACACTAATAAATTTCTTAATTACAAATTATATATTTATTCTATTTTATTAGACTAAATTTAAAGAATTTTTTGATCATTGTTGTCGGTCACGCCATTATTTTTTTTCAATTAAAAAGTGTGGAAGTGAAGAATGTACTATTTGTAAGCCCGTGAGACTTCCACAAGATATTTTTGACCAAATTTATCATTTTCCAGATCCAATTCCTGGAAACAAT